AGCTTCTCTGAGAACCCTGTCCCAGTGCCTCCCCACCCTCTCCAGGAAGAATTCCTTCCTGAAGTCCAATCTCAATCTCCCCTCTGTCAGTTTAAAGCCATTTTTCAATTTAAAGCCAATTTGCATCCCAGCTGCTTTCCCCACAGTCTTGCATGAAGCTTTAACCACGGGATGAACTCCCAAGCTCTGGGGAGAGGGGAAGGCCACTCCAATTTCAATGCCATGCCTTCCCACAGGTTGCCAATGCCTGCGCCTAGGCTGCTGTCCCAGGCCAAATTCCCCTTTTCCTACCCTCAAACCTGGCTGAAAACTGGGGAAGATTTACCTAGAAACACTATCTAAAGCAACACTTTGTCTTTGCTCACAAACACACATTCCTCCATTTCTTTGCCATCAAAACCCAGTTTTTTGGTCTGAATGGAAACAACAACAAAACTCCAATCGCCAACCCTCTTGTGCATTTCCAGAAAGGTGTCCGATTTCGGAAGGAGCCCAGGGAACAGGCAGCTCCAGAGCACCCAAGCCCTTCCTCTCATTCTGCTTGTGCTGTGCACCCAGCATGGGGCAAGGGCTAAATCCTGTTTTGCATAGTCATGTTTGCAAATCATCCCTAAAAATAACTAGGAACCTGCCTGCGGAAATCACAGGTTTAGCCACAGTTGCACGAGGTGGGTGATATCTGGCCAAGCCTTCAGCAGGAGCCTCTCTCCATCAGTTCATGGAGCCTCTCTCTCCATCTGTCCCCCCAAGCACAGGGAAACATTCAAGGCCAGGCTGGAGCAACCTGGTCTAGTGGAAGGTGTCCCTGTCCATGGCAGGGGGTGGCACTGGATGATATCTAAAGGTCCCTTCCCACCCAAACCATCCTATGGGGTTTTTTGGGTGCTTTCCTGGGATGTAGAGACCAGCCAAAAAGCAACACAGGAGCAAGGAACAACCTCTCCCAGGAGCAGCATACCTTGTTTCCGATGGTCATCCTTGGACGGACGTGTCTTGCCAAGCTTCATGGCTGAAAAAACTCCTTTCCCAGCTCTGGAAGAAGAGAGGGAGGACAAGTGAAATAAATCAATGACTGTATTTTTGGTGTTGTTTTCTGGGATTTGGGGGTGGGAACAGGAGGAGCCTTTGACAGCTCGAGAGCAAGAGAGGGAATAGCAGCTGGAAGACTGAGCAGGGGCTGTTGCAAAGACAACACAGGGCAGTCAAGATCACAGCTGAGTGTGATTTTTTGAGTCTTGGGTCTCTTTTTTTTTCTCATGGAATGCCCCAACTCGGGATAAAACACGAGGCTGGAGCACAGTGTTAGCAGCCAAGGAACTCTTCCTCCCCCCATACCTCCCGTCTGCTGCTGGCCCCCACTGCACACAGACCCCTCATCTCTCCGTACCCATTTCTGCAATTGCTCCCCAGCTACCTAAAACCATTACCTAAAAACTTAAAATGTCCAACCACTTCCCCCAGACCTTTGCTGTGAAAAATCAACACCCTCTTTGGCTAGAGCAGCAGCAAACAGGTGAAACGTGATTTTTTTTCCCCTTCCAGCATGAGAAATACCATTACCAGGCCAGTCCACTCCCTGCCTGCAATCTAGGCTGGGGTCAAATTCACTCAGGGCAGTTTGGGATGGATTGGCTGATAAAATAATGCCTCGCCGGTTGCTTTCTAAATATATCCACCATTTCCAGGCAAGTTGAACTTCTCTCCCCACATGTTTCAGTGGGGCTGTTATTCCAGCTCAGAAATAAGTCTGGGCAACCCCAAGTGCTTTGGCAGTCCGGGCTCCTACGTTCCTTGGTGTTTGTCACATACACATACAGCAAACATATATCAATCACAGAATATGAAACATATATAAAAATATATATAAATACAGCATTCAGTAAACACCAGGACTTCTGCACTGTGAACTGGATCCCTCTCAAGTGCGAACGGGCAGGGATTGTTTAAGACAACAGCCTTGCAGGTATTTTCCAGGAAACTGTTCCCTGTTATTTGGAGTTAAGTCCATGCTGCTGTTGCAAAGAGGTGGGAGGTTCTGAGTCACCCTGGGTGAAAATTATGAAGTCTGGATGGGATGTGGATTTTGAGCCTGAAGGTTCAGCTGAAAAACCTCAGTAGGAAAAAAAAAAAAAAACCCACCTCCTCCGTAGTACCTGGAAAACTTATACCAGCAACAAGCACAGGTCAGACCGTGCGATAACGCTGTTCTAGTATTAAAGAGCTGAAGGCAATGGCCTGTGACTGTCCCAAAAACAAGTGGTAAAGCCAAGGGGGGATTTTTTTAATTGGAAAATTCCCATTACCTGAAAGCGTTGCTCTTTGCAGAAGCCTTGCAGGTTTGATGGACATGCTCTTGAGCCAGAGCAAACCAGAAGAAAATTAAGGAGAATAGGTGGATAATGTATTCACCAAGGGAGGGGGGAGTTCAATTGGGGCAGAAGGCCAGCATAAGATACAGGAACTATTTATAGCCGAGGTTTAATTGGAACTAAAGCAATGCTCGGGCCCCAAGGCAGTCTCTGGTAGCCGTGATTAATTCACGGGATCCTCACTGAAAGGGCAGATTCTCAATGGATAGGAGGAGGAAAGACGAGGAGTATCTGTAAACCTGCCAAGGATCCTCTGCCTCAAGGTGCTATGGGGGTAGTAACGTCTTTAAGCTATTTGCAAACTCTTTTTTTTAATGAGCAAATGCTGTAAGAGCCCAGGCTGTGAAACTCTGCTCTGAGACCATCCCTCCACCACTGAGCGTGGGAAATCCAGCAGACACACAGCCCCTCCGTAAGACAACACATCTCCAGGGTCAGTTACATTCCATTCCCTTCTTTCCAATTAATTTCCTTTAAATGAAAGGGGGAAAAAAAGTCCCACCAGCCCCAGAGCTGGCACACAGGCAGTTTGCACAGATGGTTAGTGATAAAATCATTGTGTCTGTCCTAGGAATTTCTGAGGTTCCTTGGGATGTAAAAGAAAGCAGAATAGCAACTGGTGAAGGAGCCAGTAGGACTCTGCAGGGAAGACACTGGCAGTACTGATCTTCTACCAGGACCCAAATTAACGAGGTCCTTGCACGAGCACTGGGGGTGCATTGGGTTAACACAGCACCCAATGCCCCTATAAACAATGAAGCTGTTTCTGGCCATATGGAACAGGACTGGGATTAAGCACCCAGTCCAAGGAACACCCATGCCAGCAGAACCAGCCCAACCCAGCTCCTTCCAGAGGGATGACACTGCCTCTCACGTGCAACCCTCTCCCCTCCCAAAGTGATGACCCCTCGCTGCCAGCTGAGCATCAGTAAACAGGGACAGCTACAGGAGCCTCTTGTGTTCCCAAAGGCAGTTTTACTGCAGAAGTCTCAGAAATGGGAAATAGCCTGAGAGCATCTAACACATCCACAAGATGAGCCTCAGCTCTACCTGGTTTGAGGAGCAGAATCCAGAAGGCACAGTGTCTCTCTGTGCATACACCTTTGGGTGCTGTCCCCATGCCCCCACCCCAGCCACATCTCCCTGCTGCTCCTCTCAGCCCCAGTTACAACATCTGGCGCTGCCTCCCTCCTTCACCACTGCCCTTACTGGTTTTACTGTAGTTCCAGGGAGCAAGTATCTAGGAAACAGTGGAGTTTGGAGGTCACTGAGAAAAGGAAAAAAAAAGAAAAAGGATGGATTTTGTGGGATTTTGGCAGCGTATTTGGTACGTGCTGAGGAGAAGGGAAGAAGCAAGTGTAGGATGAGCTGTCCCAGATGTTTCAGAGAGAGATTCCATTGGCTCATCCTCCAGCCCCTTCAGTCCACTTTTCCAAGCCAGGTGAGCAGCAACACATCCTATACAAACCCCCTTCCCGTTTCCATCCCTCAGGGGTACTACCTTCACCCGCCGGCCATCCAGGACTTGGCTTCCCCCAGGAGGAGATGCTGGAAGAGCTCAGGTGAGACAGGAGAGCATCCAGTGGCACGTCTAGGGAGGGGTGGCCATCCCTGTGCCGAGGGCAGAGCTGTGCCCCACGTGCGGGTCAGGACCAAGGAGGGATGGGGATGTTGCCCAAGCCTCCTCTCCAGGCACAGCAGGATCTTTGCAGAATTAAAGAAAGGTTGTGCCGACCCCTCCACCGCTCCTGTGGCGCGGCTGGGAAGCCGGTGCCAGCAGAGAGCTGACACCGTCCCCACGTGAATATTACATGAGGCCCTGCGAACCTGAGATGCCGACACAGGCTGGGCGGCAGCACCGGGAGCCCCCATTTTGCCAAAGCCTGGTTTAGCCTGGTTTCCTGAAGAATGGAGATGCCGGAGAGGGGACTGCCACCCTGCCTGCTCCCCTCCAAAACAGCGCAAGCTGCTGGCTCATTGCAACCCAATTTGGCAGCAGGGTCAAGACTGGTGTCCTGCAAGTTTTGGGGTGGAGGACAGAACACCTCGCCTCTGTTCCCAAACAGGGACAGCCTTCTGAGCAAACCTGTTAAACCTGAATTAGACACCAGAGTATCCACCCAGCCTCCCGCAGCACTCTCCCCTTGGATTTTCTGGTGTCTAATACGGGATTGAGCAGACGAATTATCTTCAGTTGATGGCGAACGCACCCCCTCCGCTTGGTCGGTTGACCCCAGAAGCACTTGGCTTTGTCCTTTAGGGTTTCACCCATGTGGCTCTCCAGGAGCGGAGCACAGGGGAACAGACCATTTTGAGACGCAGGCAGGGAAGCGGAAGCAGTCTCTCTCCTGGCCAGCTTCTAGTTAAAGATACGGTTGCAGGTTACTGGTTAATTATTCATGGCTAAAAGGGACATTTTAATCATTGCTTTTTACTGGGGAGTTGGAAGCAGGGAACAAGGTTTCTATGGCTCATTGCTTTGCAGGAATTACGTCCATCAGGCAGGTGCTGCCTCCATCACCCCTGGACTACCAAAACTTCCAGTTCTCCCACCTGTACCAGGGACAGACCCCACTGCCAGCTCCATGGAGTCATCCTGTGCTCACCATCCTTGATCCCAGGGAAGACCCCAACCCCCAGATCCAGTCTGCCTCTCCCAGTTCCCTGCCCAGCCAACCTGGGGAGGGGAGCCAGCAAGGACTAGGCTGCTCAGTGCAGAGGGATCTTTTCCCATCTTTTCTTGTGTCTGCCTTCTCCTTGCCGACTGCTTGAAGATGGTTTTCTCCTTTTCCCACCTCATCTCTGCCTCCTCATATTATACCATTAATTAGGAGAGTCCATCAGTGAGATAGTGCCATAAAGTGGACATTAAACTGCAGCGCAATAAATACAGAATCTTTTAGGTTGGAAAAGATCATCGAGTCCAAACATTACCCCAGCACTGCCCAGCCCAGCCCCCACTAACCCACGTCGCTGAGCACCACATCCACACGGCTCTGACACCCCTCCCGGGGTGGGGACTTTACCACCTCCTTGGGCAGCCCGTTCTAATGCTTAATATCATAGAATCATAGAATCTTTTAGGTTGGAAAAGATCATTAAGATCATCACGTCTAACTGTTATGAGCCAGAAGAGACCTTACGTATTGGGAATTGCCCTGCGGTGGCTGCAGGGATTGTCTCCTGGACAGCAGGAGATTAGCCAGTCCTCACAAGAGACTCAAGCTTGAATTTCAGCAGATCTGCTAAGCTGAAGGATGCTGCTTTTGGGAGAGAGCTCAGACAGCCTGGGATCAGTGCAAGCAGCTGGGGATTAAAGGAAGGCAGGAGCTGAAGAAACTTGTCCCCATGGATGATGTAGCAGCCTGACCTATGGGCACAGGAGCTGTAAAGCTGGTGCTGAGCCCCATTTTCCCAGCCTTGTGCTGATGACCTGCACCCAGACTCTCTCCTGCCCTGAGGTTTGGCCAGGTTGTCCATGCCCAAGCTGCAGACCTCTCCCCCAAGCCCAGACTCATCCAAACCTGATGTCAGACAGGCTTCTCTCAAGACCTCACAGTTCCCTTCCAGCTTCCAGGGACTGCTCCAAGCCTGTCTTTTACACTGGCTTTTACTGTAGATAAATATTCCCTGCAGGCCAAACATCCAAGAGACCCAAGCTCT